GACGGTTGCAATAATTCTTTAAGTGTTATTTTTTCCTTGGTATTCTAATTTCACCGAAGTTTACTAAACTCAACAAACTTAATATTACTTACCGGGACATTTATTCTCTCCTCATTTTCTTTCACTGAAAATTTGTTTTCTGCAGTGCCGTCTTTCGTGCTTGGCTCTCCCACCTCTGCTAATGCTGGGCTTACACTGTGCGATTTTTGGCCCATTTTGAGCCAATTTCTGAGTCGTGCGACCGTTTTGGCGATCGGCCCGATTTTGGCCTTCATCGTGCATCGTGTAGTATACGTGGGGTAACGAGAAGCGATTAACACCTCACGACCAGCTCCCGATCATCAATCGCTTGGTCGCGAAATCCTCGCGACCATCGTGAGACTGTCACCGCAGCTTAATAATAAATCTGAGGAATAGTAATAAGTGTGCCTCTTGGCATAGGCACACTTAATAATAATAATAATAATAATAATAAATCTGAGGAATAGTAATAAGTGTGCCTCTTGGCATAGGCACACTTAATTAAGTTTTCACGGTGAAGCTCAGATATCCGAGTGTAAGTGAATGCAGCATCGGCTTCTGCACTATGAGCATCACGTTAAGCTGGGCATACACTGTGCAATTTTATCAGTCGCGTTATTCAGCTTCTGCTCAAACTGCACGATTGACTCTCAGGGGTTAGAAGTTCGTGGGTCTCGATGCAGGGTCTCACACTATACAGCCCGATGCTCTGATGCGACCTGAGTGCTCACACGACCAAGCGATTGATGATCGGGAGCTGGTTGTGAGGATTTCAGACAGGTTTGAAATCCTCATGACCATCGTGAGGCTGTCACACTGCACACGCGCAAACACAAATGTCAGCGAAAAAGACTGCGCAGCACGGCAGTGCAGCGTGTGATCTGACACAGGCGATGGAGGCACAACTTGTAGAACTATGGCAAGCTCATCTGAGCCTTTTCGATGTGGCCTCACAAAATTATCACAGCCACAACAACCGTGAAAATAGTTGGATCTACATTTGCTGCTCAATCACAGCTGCCTGATCAATGTTTTTCATGAGCAATTTAGCAAAGTTGATGGTGGTGGTGCGTGTCTGTGTGAGTGAAAGACAGAGAGGGAGAGCGAGCGACAGAATTTCTGTTATAACCTTCATTTTATGGACGCACAGTGTGAGCACTTGGGTCGCATCAGAGCATCGGGCCGTATAGTGTGAGACCCTGCATCGAGACCTACGAACTTCTAACCCCTGAGAGTCAATCGTGCAGTTTGAGCAGAAGCTGAATAACGCGACTGATAAAATTGCACAGTGCAGCTTAACGTGATGCTCATAGTGCAGAAGCCGATGCTGCATTCACTTACACTCGGATATCTGAGCTTCACCGTGAAAACATAATTAAGTGTGCCAATGCCAAGAGGCACACTTATTACTATTCCTCAGATTTATTATTAAGCTGCGGTGACAGCCTCACGATGGTCGCGAGGATTTCACGACCAAGCGATTGATGATCGGGAGCTGGTCGTGAGGTGTTAATCGCTTCTTGTTACCCCACGTATACTACACGACGCACGATGAAGGCCAAAATCGGGCCGATCGCCAAAACGTGCCAAAGTTTAGTATTTCTGCCAAATCATATTATCTCCTAAATAATAGTATGTCTGCCAAATTATAGTATTTGTGCCAAAGCATAATACTTCAACCAAATCACAGTATTTCTGCTGTGTTATAGTATTTATGCTAAATCATAGTATTTGTGCCAAATCATAGTATTTTTACTCAATGGTAGAATTTCTGCTATGTTGTACTATTTTTGCTAGATTGTAGTATTCCTGCTAAGTCAAAGTATTTCATGTAAATCATAGTATTTCTACCGAGTCACAGTGTTTCTGCTAAATCATTGTATTTCTGCAAATTCATAGTATTTGACACTGCAAAGTATTTCTGTTCTTTATTTTAGCACAAATCACCGGATTTCAGCCAAATCATAATATTTAAGCCAAATCATAGTATTACTGCTAAGTCATAGTATTTGAGCAAAACTCTGCTGAGGTTTGCTCCCTGTAGCCGTATGAATGGCAAACTACACTGATTAGCAGCGGCATAGGCACACTTAAAATTTCTTCTGAAATTTTCGCTTTCTAGTCGTCCATATTTGATTGAATTTTATTGGTTTAGCTTCGGGGTGGCACCTGGGGTGGCCAGTCTGGTTGTGGGGGGTGGCCCCCAACCAGACTGGACACGCCACTGCCTGATAGGTGCATGCCTTGGTGTATGCAATGGGATGAAGTGTAAAAAATGTGTAATGTATGAGGAGTATGACTATGTAAAAAACAAAATTAGATTTAAAGGGACAGATGTAATAGTCATGCAGCTGCTGGTTATCAGTGATAATCCGCACCTCCCCTCCCAAAGCATAGTAGACATATAATGTTTCCTGGTAATAAATCTTATAGTGTTGAAATTCCTGTTTATTTCCCTTTAAATGGTGCCACATTTGTAAAGAAGATGTACTTGCAGGTTGAGCAGCACAGTTGAGTGATTTTGATCGTGCTGACAAACAGGTGCCAGTTTACACCACCTGTAAGCAGGAACCCTACTAAAGTGGTCAGTTGGTATGGATGGGACCAGTGCCATAGGGCATCTTCAAGCTGGAGTTTCACAAAGTTGCAGCATTACTAGGAATGAGTGTTAGTACAATCTCCAAATTGAAAGCCAAACTCCATGTTACGTCTATCTCAAGACAGGCTACAAAGTGGGTGCTGGTGTTGATACATGTGTACTACATGAATACTTGAAAACTTGAATATTTGGACCAACTTTACATTCAGCCACGAGTCCAGATTCTGCCTATGGCAGCCCCAGTCCCACCAACCTCTGGGAAGCATACATAAAAGATTGTTGCTCACTTAATTTTTAAAGTAAAATAATCATATGAGCCTTTCTTTTGATGTCATTTTGATTTGTTGCTTTTCTTGTGTCTTTTCTACACACAAAGACACACAAAGAGATTGATTTAATGTTTTTTTTTTCAGATGGTGTAGAACTGAAGTTCAATGAAAATACAGCAAGCAAAAGACTCCTCCTAGAAGGAGACAGAAAAGTAAGAACTGTAGAGAAGGTAGAGGAGAAACCTGAACGACGTGAAAATGAGGACCGGTTCAAGAGGTCTCAGGTGTTTTGTGTTGAGGGGCTGAAAGAGCTCTGTTACTGGGAAGTGGAATGGAGTGGGACAGTCTGCATTGCTGTGGCATACAAAAGAGTGGGTAGAAAATGGGATAGTAGTGGTGGCCTCGGATGCAATGAGATGTCCTGGGGTCTGTACTGCTCCGGCACTGACTACACTGCCATGCATGGGAAAATTCAAAAGTGTTTGAGATTACCCTCTAGTAAAAAAATAGCAGTGCTCTTGGATTGGAAAGGAGGAACTCTGAGTTATTACAGTGTTTCATCAAAAAAACTGAGCCTCATACACACCTTTCATGCAAAATTCACTGAGCCGCTCTTCCCAGGCTTCTGGTTTAGAACGGGCTCTGTGACCTTATGTGACATAAACTAAATCACTGTAAAACAGCACTGTGGTGACCACTTACAATTCTCTTCTTTTATTAACATAATAATAATATGAAACATTACTTTTAAAAAATATATAAGTTGTTAGTTTATTTATTTTTAAATCAGTGTTAATACTGAAAAAATGAACTAGTGTCATAAAGGAGCTGTCTGTGTTCCAAAATATTTTAGAGGACAGCCACTCTACTACTGCCATTATATTACTGCATTTTTTTAGACTGCATGTTGTGTGAATGTACCTTTGTACTAAACACACTTTAAACACACTTTAAATTACACCAATAAAAATTTAATTAGTGAGATTATTATGTAAAGATGAAACACATTTGTTGTTGATTCCAGTCATCTCTGTTTATTCATGCATTTAATTTGTTTTTATTTTTATATGTGTAAAATATTCTGATGAAAGATATACTGATAACAATGATGAATATTATTAACAATTTCAAGTATGGTTTTATTTGCTTCATTTCACATTACTGATAATGTTTTTCGTTTGTTTGTTTCATTTGTCTTTTATTTTTTTACTACCTTGTCCTAGTTTTATCACTTCTTTTAATTTTCTATAATAAAATGATTTTTGGTGGCTGTAATGAATACTCCTTTTCATACTTAATATAAAAGACCAATAAAGGATCTCTAATTTGAATTGAATTAAGTACAAGGACACAAACTTGACATCCAGTGGCGGCATGGTGGTGGGGGGCGGCATCACGGGCATCGGCAAAAAAACCCCATAAAAATAAAAATAAAAAATTGCTCGTACTCATGCTGCCCCGACATCATGCCAGCACATACTAGGGATGGCATAGGCACCAATTGGTTTTCTATCGCCCATTTGCTGGGAGTAAGGGCGCCCTCCGTTTGCGAGGTGCGCCTGCTGCTTGCGGCACAGGGAGGAGAGGGCGGGGCGGCGGGGGATTCATTGTCTGGCTGGAGCAGCGTCTAATAACCAACTCGCAAAATAAAACAAAATAAAAACAAACCAACAACACGAAAATACCAGATATTATGATACAGACTTATAATTTGCACCGATGTTTTTTCAAAATTCTAAACGCGAAAAGTGAGCGCGAGAGCGCGAGAGCGCTTGCTTGCTGCTGAAGTCAAAGTAAACTTTATTGTCATCTCCGCTACATACAGTACAGCATATAGAGAGACGAGACGACGAGGCTCCGGTTACAGCAGTGCAAGTAAACAAACAATAAATATAAGAAGAGTAAGAAAATAAATATACACTTTAGGACCAGGGGTATAGGGATTAACAACAATTTAGAATGTATATTTTATATTTTGTTGATTTAAAGTCTCACACACAACCCGTTTTTAAAGTTAAAAAAAAAGAGAAAAGAAGAGGAGTGTAGCGACTTCCACAGTCGCTAGAGGCCGGGGATTGAGCTTGCCTATTTGTCTGACGTGCTGTCAACTTTACGCAATAATGCAAGAGGTGGAATTGCTTGCTTGTTTATTAAAGTGCTTGAAAAGTTTACAGAGCAATGTGATCGGCTCGCGATTCAAACTCTTAAAACATCACAGGCTCTAATGCAACAAGGGGAAACTCGTTGTGCTGCGGTCAACAAAAACTACGGCTACCCAGCCCTCCTCTCTGTCAAAATCAAACCAGTGAAAGACAGACTGCAAGGCCCTCTTAATGTCACCGCTTGCACCCACGTGACTCCCGTTACACATCACCATAGCAACCAAACAAATGAAAACCCAGTGATCATTAAAATTTAATACATTTAACAAGAACATCCATGTCCTGCCATGTTAGGACCAGATGTCTTGTTTTTTTGTCTGCATGGAGAACCTGTGAGAGCACTTTCTCTTGCTCTGTAACTCTGTTAATAATCTGTTGTAGGGAGCCCCACCTGGTAGGGGTGTCTGTGATAAGCTGTTGAGCAGGTAAGCCTCAAGAGCTTCCCTGAGGCCTCTGGCTATCATTTTCCTGTATGGTCATCAGGAAAACAACTTGTCTGCAAACATCGACTGTAGAGTGTCCAGTCTCGGATGAAATGCACGGTCAAGCTCATATACGGATGCGTTGTGCGGTTCGTCCACATATCCGTTGTTGCAGCGTAGTATGCGATGTTGCAGACTTCATCCTCTACTTTGGCCCTACACTCATAATATAAACGAGGCAACTCAACTTGTGTGAAATGTTTTCGGACGGGAATTATGTACCTGGACTCGAGCAGTTTTATTAATGCGCGAAACCCCTCTTTCTCAACGGTGTAAAAGGGGACCATATCTTTGCACATGTAAGTTGTAATGGCCGCTGTTATGTCCTTCCATCTTCGCCAGGCTTTCTTATAAGCCGTGCCATGGGCAAAAGCCTGTTCTGTTTGAGTCCGTGGTGTATTTTGAGCATCTGACGGCTCTTTTTTGCCTCAGTTGTAAACTCTCTGCATGCTCGCTCATGTGCTTGTTGTGGAGGTGGTAGAAGAGGTTTGTCGTGTTGGAGTCTGTGGTGGCAATCGGTTTGCAGCATAATTTGCACAGTACCGTTTTCTGGTCCGTGTCAGACTCTTCAAATCCAAACCATTTCCATACTACAGAGGTAGCCCCTCGTTTAGGAACAAGGTCCTTCTGTGTGGAGCTACCTGGTGTTGCCTCATCTTCATCAGCCATGCTAGTGTGTCTGCATCCACGTGGTGGCCATCAAAACAATGAAAAAAATATTGCCGTAAACAGTTTTGCGACACCACGAAACAAACGATAGCGTAATGTGCAACGATAGACGTTTTCATAGCGTCATCCGATATATATCGTTATATCGAACAGCCCTAGGTGTTTGCATGGTTACTACTCTGGTTATTACTCTGAGTAAGGGAAGGGGGGGGACTTTAAGTGTTATGGGTCAATGCCAGGGTTTTTTTTCTCTATTAGTATGGAGCAACTAAACACCTGCAATATCTCTGACATAAAAGTCACTAGTTGGAATGTCCGGGGTCTCAGGAAACTAATCAAACTGAAACAGGTTATAAGCAGGATCAAGCAATTGAAATCAAAGAAAGTTTTTCTTCAAGAAACACATCTGACAGACTGTGAAATAAAGTCTGTCAGGAACAGATGGCCTGGCCAGGTGATCCACGCATCATATAATAACTATGCGAGAGGTGTAATTATTTTGATTCATAGAAGCATACCATTCCAAATGACGAAAATAATAAAAGACCCTGCTGGTAGGTACGTAATCACTCAGGGTACCATTCTTTCTATTACTTTAAACTTGGTCTATATGGCCCAAATGAAAATAAGCCCCAATTTTTTGAAGATCTGTTTCTTACTGTATCTGCTTTGCAAGGACTGTATATAATTGGAGGAGACTTTAACTGTACTCTCAACCCGAGTATAGATTGCTCAACGGGCTCAGATACATATAAAGCACAAACTAGACGACTAATAAATCAATTTATATTAGATATCAATTTGGTAGAAGTGTGGAGAGAACAAAATCCTGATAAAATAGAATTCGCCTGTCATTCAAGTATACATAAATCCCGCTCACGTATAGATTACTTTCTTGTCTCAAGAGAACTTTTATCAAGGATCAAACAGTGTCAGTATGTGATCAGTGATCATGCAGCTATCTCACTGAGTATCCATCTAGGAAAGTTTATCCATAACCCACCGAACTGGTGGCTTCAAACAAAATGGCTGCAGAATCCAGAATTTGTTAAATTTATAGAGGAGAAAATAGAAAATTACTTTGAATTAAACACAGATCAAACTTGTGCCTCAGTGAGATGGGAAGGATTCAAAACGTATATTAGAGGTGAAATTCTTAGCTTTACGAGTACAAAGAATAAACAGCAAAGAAAGCGAATGGAAACCTTGGATAAACAGATGAAATCTTTGGAATTAGATTTAAGCGTTAGCGACGACTCAACAAAACAAAGTGAGTTGCTACGTCTGAGAACTGAATATAAGAAATTATGATCTGATGCAGCAGCAAAAAGTCTAATGTGGCTGAAGCAATCTTATTATGACCAAGGAGAGAAAGCAGGTAG